ACGTGTCAAATAATCAAAGTTTCTGTGGAGCACCTATTTGATGACTAATTTTCAACTTGGAGTGCATGACTTAAGTTTGCTAGTGTAGAGTTTTAGTTTGTCATCTTGTTCCTTATTTACATAATGTGGCTGTATCTCAAATTTTCCCAGTCTCCTCTGGTTGTGATTGATCTATGCTAGCTCACATATTTTCTCTAGTACCTCACTGCTCATAGTCTCTTCTACTTCCACATAAGAAATACACCAAGCAACCCTGTAGCTGGTATCCAACTCTCTAAATCTCTATACTTATCCTTACGGTATAATGAAAATGGGCTATTTATTTTCTTCATGTTCCTTTTGTCATGGAACACGTGACAATCATCTGTCTTCCCGTGCTTTGATAGTCTCTTGTGGTTTAAAATGGTATAAATAAATCAGTTCTTAATCTAGCACTTCAGTATAGTGAAAGAATTTTAGATAGGAAGACCATTTTTCTTTCAGTGGTCTTGCTGTTTACACTTAGTCATATGATTTGCTAGATATTTGAGACTGTAGATTTGTGTGTTATCAAGTGAAGGAATTTGTCTAATCTCAGGAAACTGAAGCCCACCTAAATATAAATCTGACTTACTTTTTGCAGTCCTTTGGAATATTACTCTTGCTTAATGAGAAAGTGCACTATTTTGTTAATAGTTCAGCTATTTCCCAGCTAAATTCCTTCCATTAGCTCATGATGGATGTTCTGTTTTATTTAGAAGAATGAGCATTGCATTCATTAGGCAAACTTCATTAAATTTGGAGCTCAATCAACTAGAACTATAATTATATGGAGAGGAAACTTCCTAATCTGACACTTGTAAAACTGAGCCCTTTTGGAAGCAGTTATTATCTTATGCAACATGACCAACTAAGCCTTTGTATTGAAGAGAGGCAGACCCTTGGAGGAGTGCCTTCAGCTAGAAGTGGCTTTTTTCTATTGTAATTGTTTTATAGGCTTTTTCACCACAATGAGACATCTGCTCTCTGTATCCTGGGCATCTATTATTATAGATCAGACTGGTTGAGGTAGTAGTAAGCAGTGTATACTCCTCTAAACTATTATCTCATTGTTTAGAATTTTATTACTTTTCAAATGGCACCTTCTGCAGTTTAAGTCCATGAAGACTATCCTTTTGTGTTTTAAGGCAAAATTTATGGCTCTTAGGATGGTTATGAAAGGAGAAAAAAAACATACTCTGTTATGAATGGAAATTTACTTCTTATTGTGGCTTTAGACTGGATGGTTTGTGTCAGCGTCAGGAGGGGGAAGTGTAGCTGCCTATACATTGTGGTCTGTTTTCCCTATAGCACCATGTGTGACTCTAATGCAGGCCTGTGATCTTTGAACACTTGCTGTTTCTTCCTGCTTCAGATCTCACTTGCTGCCTTGCTGGTAGTGCTGTGCATTTTAAGATGGAGGAAGACAGCTATGACATCATCATTGCCACTTCTGATTAGATTGTGAACCTTAGCAAGTACAGAAGAATTCAGCAGAAGCTGCTATTTAGGAACAAATGAAGAATGACATCCTCTTCACATAATCCTCCAAGAAAGAAGCTAAAAGCAATTAATTAATTCTAATCTCTAACCCAACCTAGCGTAGCCCACAAATGGTTTTAAGTTGTACCTAACTTGCAACATGGGGCAACCAAGGTGTAAGATTAAGTCTGTTGTCCTCTGTGTTGCCTTATGGCCAGCTCTGCCCTCTAGTCTTGTAGGCACAAGACTTCTGAGTATGAACTCTGCATTTTGGACTCTTCTTCCTCAGTCTTCCTCCTTAATATTCAGGAGGAAGGAATTAGTTTGTTTTGTGCTGCCTGAGTGACACTAAAGGAAGAAGACTGGGTCAACAGTCTGTTGCAAAATATTGACTTGTCATCTCTTGACCTTTTGGAAGTGTTTTCAGCCAAAAAGATTTAAAAAAACAAAGATTGTTCTTCTGAGTCTTCCTCAAGGAAGAAGTGCTGGTGTGCAGTTAGGATTGCTTACCATATATTTAAGAAGAAAAATGAAAAGTAGCCCAGATGTAGTTGAAATAGCCTACTTATGAGTAAGAAAGAAGAAAAATGAATAAATTATTATGTATTGGGATATAAATGCTATTCTGAGGAGACCATGGTAAGAACTAGTTGAGCTCTCACTAGGGGTCCAGAAACTGAACCATACAGATCTGTATCTCAGAAACAGGCACGCATCAGTGCTCAGGGAAGAAGCACGTGTGAGCAGAAGGGGCTTTGCTCAGCTATGGGATTTTTTGTACGTTTGTGGGTCTAGGAAATATAAACCTAAAAGATGAGAGAAAAGAGCAAAAGGCAACAGCAGGAGGGAGAGCCTGGACAAATTATTGGAGTGTTGACCATATGAAAGCTTTGAGTATGAACGTTTGCCTTTAATTGATTCTTAGGGACAAAAAATGCTGAGCAGTCTGGTTTGTGCTATCGGGCTGCATTTATCTCTGAGGCTGCAAACAGCGCTGGAGGATCTTGCATGAAACAGGTGGTCAGTCAATCCTCATAGGGGAGTACTGTTTTAGGTGAGAGTTTTATATAGAGGGTTGGGGGCTGACGTTTAACACTGTGAGGATGAAAGCAAATTTTATGTCTGTATTTGGTGAAGTTGTATTGTTTAACCACTATGGGATGTGTTAGGAAGCCATGGACACTTCTGGTCAATTCTGGAGAGAGCTCTGTTTCAGCAGTTTGGGCCTTTCTGCTCTCGGTCTCTGTCTGGATGCATCTGTTGGATTCATGAGGTGGCAAAAATAAACATGGGCTTTTGCATTTCCATTTTTCATGGTTCTGTGCAGAGAACTCCATGAAAAACATCTAAGTTTGTATTTTTTAAGATATTTTCTGGATGGCTGGAAAGCAGATGTTCTTGTGTCCAACATATGAGAGTACCTTATTGTGGGCACTTGAATGTACTTCTGAGATCTAGAAAACTGTGAGTGATTGTACAATGGTGTCTCAACTTTTTTTGTGGGATGGAGGGGGATGACAACACACCAGTCCATCCCCATCCAATATATTCTTCTCACCCACTGCCAGTTATAGAATATGAGAACTTACTGATGTGGTTTTTGCTGGTTTAAGTTAGAAGGTTTTTATTTTTTGAAATTATTACAAGAGGAGCTTTCAGGACTTCCAGAGGCTGTGTATCCCTATTTGTTCAAACACCATGTGTGTTTGAAAATGTTATCAATGTGGTTTAAATAAAGGAACAGAAGTTACTTTGCTATAGCAGCATTAATACATTCCACCTTTACATCAGAAATACCTTGTCAGCTAATACTGGCTACTCCTTGTGTCATGGTCTGATTTGCATATTTTTGAAGTGATAAATTAGATAATTGTCATGTTATGGTTATGAAAAGGTACACAGTTAAGCACATGCTGTAGCTCTGCTCAAAGCAACCTCCACTTCAGTGCAAGCAATGGAATTTGTTACTTGGCTGAAGGTGTTAAACCTTACAGTACTTAGGCACCCTGATGAATTCATCGCCTCAGAGTTACAGGTATGCCTGGTGGCCGATTTGTCAAAGGATATGTCTTTTAATTAATCTTACAAAAGGTAGTATGTCCCCATCTGTACTGGAATATTCTTAACAAAGGCCACTGACGTAAGGCTTTCCATATCAAGTTTAAGTTAATTAAAACAGATGCACAGCTATTTTTTAAGAAATTAGTTGGTGATTACTTTGTCAGAGACTGTTGTTTTTAATTTTTATTATTCCAGGGAAGAAATCTCTGCAAGTTAAATTAAGCTTGCATGTAAGTACCAGCCATTTAGGTGTGTAAAAGAAATACAACGGTGGTGATGGCTTCATTCAGTTATTGTTATGCTTGAGGGGAAAAAATTATCTCTAAACACGTAAAAATAAGAAATTAATTAATAGAAACAACCAAGCAGGAACACTGCGCTATAGGAATTCCATTATGGATAAAAAATACGTTTAAAAACCCCACATAAGATTGGTTTAACTTGTTAGGAGACTACTGCTATTAAATTGCTAATCATATAGTTATTGTACTGTTTTATAGAATACCAGTATGAACAGTGAAATTCGGTTACTTTCGTAGCATGCAGGAGATTTTATGCACTCCGTGAAAATAAAGAAACCCGTGGTAATTCTTGTTTCCTCTAGAAACAAAAGACCTCTACCTAATAAGGGCAACAGTTTAAGCTGGAATGGCCTGAGGAGGTCAGGACTAACATGGTCAGTGGCTCACCTACTGCCTGTTCATCCTCTCTCCCTTGTACAAACTGATGAGTTGCTCATCAATCAGCTCTAAATTGCTGCTGTTTCAAGTGAATTGCGTTTTAGGGTAAAGCACCATTGATTTTTATTTGGCTTTAAATGCTCCATTTTAAATGGGGACAATTCAGGAATCCATTAGGACTTCATGGTGTGGGTCCTTGCAAGCAGCTGCAACATCCTGGGGTTGTGGCTTTATCAGTCAAGCCAAGCCAGGGCATCCCTACTCATCAGTCCATGCTTTCAGTGACTTGGTAGCTTCCATAATTGCAAAACTTCGAACATTTCAATAGTAAATGTTGGGAAATGTCATGCATTACTCCAGATACCAATTGCTTTACCTTCCATATGCTGTGCTTTTTTTTTTTTCTTTTAACACTTCTGTCCTAGAATTACTAATAACTATTTGCACCTGAATGCCTTTCTTCTTTTTTTTTTTTTTTTTTTTTTTTGTGTCGAAGTACAGTTGCTCATGTTCAGGTTAAGAAAACAGATGAGAAAGTTTTTTCTATCTTTAGTCTTTTTTCTCCCCAGATGCTTTGAAAGAGAAGTGTGATCCTCTTGTATAGCTGCTAATTCCTTACTAATTTTGATTATTCTTTGTACTATCGTCTTTGTAGTAACTTTGTTTTGTTACTGCTTGGATTACTTTGTCATGCTTGTGATGTTTAAGAAAAGTAATGAAATAATAACTTCTAATAGAAATCCTTCTTTTTACGTGTAGGAAATTCACAATTGGGTGCTACCATAGTAGATGCATTGGATACTCTTTATATCATGGGGCTTCACGATGAATTCAGAGAAGGACAAGAGTGGATTGACAAAAATCTTGATTTCAGTGTGGTGAGTAGAACTTGCCCTAACATTTTTCTAGTCCTTTTCACAGTGTTGTTCTTGTGGGGAGAAGAGGTCTTTTAGCTGCAACTTAGAAAACTTATGCTTCAAAGTATCAGAAGTTCAGATATAAGCTTTAGTGAAGTTTTCTGTGTTTGTAACTTTTTGTATTTTGAAAAAAAAACCCTCAACCCTTTCACATGTTAATTACAAGTAAAGATACATCCATATATTGTATTTTCAAAGTACAAATCATTATTGGATAGTGGAAGAAAGATAAAGTGGTCAGTGAGACCAAACAGGGCCTCAGAAATGAGCACAGAAAGATGAGGCTTTACTGTCTGATAGTAGCTGGAAATAACTGAGCTGTGAAAGACAATTTCCCCCCAAACCATGGTGTATAAATTACTTAACAATACAATCTCTTCTTCTCCCATGTCCTTAAGATGTTTTAACATGAAGAATGCCACTTGAGTTGTCTTAGACTCAGAACCTGTAGGCAATCAAATCTCAGAAGAATTTCCCAGCTGGTCATACAGCATCTAGGTTTGTGTGCACAAAGTTTAGAAGCATTAAATGGAAGACATGGCTCTATTTTATCCTTGTTGATTAGTGTTCTTATTACTAATTTTAGGACTGTGTCACAGACTCTGTGACAGAATTTGTATTTCAGTCCTTCTTGGGCTTGCCCTGTGGTTCCAAAAATAATTTTTCATTCAGTAATGCACAAAATGAAACATAGATATATTGTCAGAATTGAGCAGATGCTTATTGTTGGTTTTTGTATTATATCCTACATTTCAGAAAGGATTTGTTTGGGTTTTTTCCTTTTGTTTTATGCATTGACAGTCTGGCAAACATTAAAGAAATTCTACTCTGTGTTTTTTTTCAGTTAATGCCAGATAATTATTCAGTCTAAAACTGAAGACCCTAAATATATCAGAGGCAGATCTGGTTCGTGACCATATGAGGAACCTGAACATAAATAAGTCTATGGGACCTGATGGAATGCATCCCGGAGTCCTGAGGGAATTAGCTGATGTAGTTGCCAAGCCCCTCTCCATGATATTTGTCTCATGGCAGTTGGGTGAAGTCCCTGGGGACTGGAAAATGGGAAACGGTGCACCCATTTTTAAAAAGGGCAGAAAGGAGGACCCTGGGAATGACCAACCTGTCAGGCTCACCTCTGTGCCTGGGAAGATCATGAAACAGATCCTCCTAGAAGCTATGCTAAGGCACATAGCGAACAGGGAGGTGATTTGGGACGGCCAGCATGGCTTGACCAAGGGCAAGTCCTGCCTGACCAACGTAGTGGCCTTTTATGATGGAGTGACTACATCAGTAGGCAAGGGAAGAGCTACAGATGTCATCTGTCTGGACTTCTGTAAGGCCTTTGGCATGGTCCCTCATGATATCCTTCTCTCTTAATTGGAGAGATATGGATTTGATGGGTGGACTGTTCGGTGGATAAGGAACTGGTTGGATGGTCACATCCAGAGGGTAGTGGTCTACAACTAAATGTCCAGATGGAGATTGGTGATCACTGGTGTCCCTCTGGGGTCCGTACTACTGGGACCAGTGCTGTTTAGCATCTTCATCAGTGACATAGATAGTGGAATCAGGTGCACCCTGAGCAAGTTTGCAGATGACACCAAGCTGAGTGGTGTATTTGATATGCCTGAGGGACAGGATGCCATCCCGAGGGACCTGGACAAGCTTGAGAAGTGGACCTGTGCAAACCTCATGAGGTTCAACGAGGCCAAGTGCAATACAAGTTGGGGGATGAAGGGATTGGGAGCAGCCCTGAGGAGAAGGACTTGGGGACAGTGGGGGGTAAAAAGCTGGACATGAGCTGGCAATGTGCACTTGCAGCCCAGAAGGCCAACCGTGTCCTGGGCTGCATCCCCAGCAGCGTGGCCAGCAGGTCAAGGGAGGGGATTCTTCCCCTCTACTCTGCTCTGGTGAGATCCCCCTGCAGAGCTGTGTCCAGCTCTGGGGTCCTCAGCATAGGAAAGTCATGGACCTGCTGGAGCTGGTCCAGAGGATGTCACAAAAGTGATCAGAGGGATGGAACAGCTCTCTTATGAAGAAAGGCTGAGAGGGCTGGGGCTATTCAGCCTGGAGAAGAGAAGGCTCCAGGGAGACCTTATCATGGCCTTTCAATACTTGACGGGGGCCTATAAGAAAGATGGGGACAGACTTTTTATCAGGGCCTGTAGTGATAGGAAAAGGGGTGATGGTTTTAAACTAAAAGAGGGCAGATTCAGACTAGATGTAAGGAAGAAATTTTTTCCAGTGAGGTTGGTGAAACTCTGGCCCAGGTTGCTCAGAGAGGTGGTAGAAACCCCATCCCTGCAAACATTCAAGGTCAGGCTGGACGGGGCTCTGAGCAACCTGATCTAGTTGAAGATGTCCCTGCTGTCTGCAGAGGGGTTGGACTAGATGATCTTTAATGGTCCCTTCCAACCCAAACCATTCTATGATTCTATGTTGCTGCTGTCTGCAACGGGGTTGGAGTAGATGACCTTTAAAGGTCTCTTCCAACCCAAACCATTCTATGGTTCTGTAATAATGGTTCCATTATGAGGGTGAACTAAATTACTGCCTGAATTTCATCTGATCTGAGGCAATCTCAATATAAATTTGCAGAATTAATCTAGGATTTGGGTGGAAGGAATTTACATGACCCACTGGGGTTCAATTACAGCTTTCTCTATCAAAAAACATTTCTGAAGGTTAATGAGTTGTCTTACATGTAGCAGACTTAAGTAATTTCCTTATATGCTTTGATGTTTATAAAGAAATAAATACATAAATCTGTTATTTTTGGATTCTTTTACTGGGAAATGGAAATAATTGGTTTCAGTCTACGCTGTACCATTGCTTGTGTGATTCATGACTTCAGTAGGTATTGAGTGGAATCGTATGTTACATTGTTCAAATTTTTCTTTTATCACCTGTATGTCAATAAAAATACATCTTTTACTAAAAACCTGTATTTGGGGGTATTTGAAACTTCAGAATTTAATCATCAGTGCTATTTGAGGAAGTAGTTAAAGTATTCATATAATCTTTCTGAAATTAGTATAAGCAGAATGCATGATACAACCACAGGTGCCATAGAAATAGTGTGAAAGGAAAGATATACCTATAAATATAATCTGAACTGTGAATTAATAATTGGTCAACTTGTACAGTGTACATCCAGTGACTTTTCTGGACAAAAGGAAAGGCTCCCTTATCTCAAAATCTTTTAATAAAACTACATTTCTATGTCTAATGTGTTGAATGAATAGAAGTTTATGGGGGAGACAGATGGGGTGTATGCAGGCAAAGGAGTAAATGGGGTGCAGAGAGAGGCAGAAAGATGCTAGAACTAGCTAGTTCCTCTTCATTTTTCAGTGAGTTAGATGAGTCAAAACATACTGGTGAATTTAGCCCAAGGGTATTAATGTGGAGGAAGGCAGTAAAATGGTATCTTCCCTTGAGTTTCTCAGTGGTCTTGCTGTACTTAACTGTTGTAATGTTAGATACATAAAGGCTATTCCTAGAGAGAGTCTGTTAAAATGAAGCTCTGAATTTGAGATTGCACATTGATAATTCAAGTTAAGAAAGCACATTACAGGAATTCTCTAATTATTACTCTGTTTTATCCTGTAAACCCAGAAGATTTGATGTTATATATGCTTAAAAGAAAAAGATGCTGAATTACGGAAATGTACAGTCCTTGCCTTCTTTCCCATCATCTCCAAACAACTTTAATTGCACTTTGTGGTGATAATATGATTAGAGAGCAGCAGAAAAACTATTTTGATTTTTAAAAATCAGTTAAAGCTTTAACTAGAATTATCACTTGGTGTCGTGAAGATGCGCACAGGAATTTCACTATGGCTCTAGATACTGAAACAGTACAAACCCTTGCGGCCATGTTGGTTCTGGGGTATGTACTTGCCTCTTCCTTGATTTTTTTTTTTTTCTTTCATTAGAGTTGGTTAATTATTTACTCTTTCTTCCTGTTCTAGAATTCTGAAGTGTCTGTTTTTGAGGTCAACATTCGCTTCATTGGTGGTCTTCTAGCAGCATACTACCTTTCAGGACAAGAGGTAAGCAGACTGGAAGGTGTCTGTGAAGTTTAATATATTCTAGCAAATATTGTATATGAAGAATTTTCTAGACTCTTGGTTTCTCAGTAGTTTGTAAACTAATCTTACAGCAGTAAGTTGTCTAAAGCAACTGAATTCTTAGAGTATGGAATCTTTAAAGCTTGTTTCTGTGCAGGTCTTGGCCAGTTAAGGACCCTTTGTTAGATCTTTGAAACATTTCTTTTATCAAGTTGTTTTCAAATCCACTTGAGTAAACATCAGCCTGAAATGTCAAGTCACTAGCTTCTCATGCCGACAATAACTTGTTTTTATATGCTGTAACTCCATGAAGGTAGAAATAATAGTTTTGCCAATTGTCCTGCAAGGCTGTTTGCTTCACAAAAGCGCTACACAATCTTCTTACCATTTTCTCAGTAACAAGCTGAAAAATACCAAGCCAATTTCATCCCACTTTTGAAACTTCTATTAAAAAAGGTTGGAGACTTAGACTTCTGAGTGCTTTTCCAAACCCATGCTTAGTTTGAAAGCATGCATATACTCAAAGACTTGCAGCCATCAATTACATCGATGACATGATGGTCCTTCTGTAGTCCACTACCTCAAATATTAGGCGTCCAGCCATTTTTCATGGCTTCAGGTTTGATACATTTTCAAATCTTCATACATATCTTCCCCCTTTGTTTAGGGGAGCAACACATGCATATCAAGTTCTTGGGGATTTTGAGCCCACAGCCCTAAAATTAACCAAGAGAAATCCCGTATTTGTTGACTTTGGCATCATCCTGGGATTTCTGAATTTTCTCTTGTAGGAGTATGAAGAGCTTAGTGGCAAAGCACGAATCTAGTTTATATCTTGAAAGAAATTGCTAGTTTATTTTTCGTCAGGTACTATCTCTTCACCTTTTTTACTGTCCATACTCACTGAGCCACTTTTCTGCAGAGGAATGAACTGCAAGCAGTCCTTCCTGCTGCACTGATTTATGTGATCTGTTGTAGGACGCCCAAAGGAAAGGAGAAGCACGTAATTTTGCTCCTTTCTTTTCTTTGTAGCAACTAGAGAGCCGAGCTTGCATTCATGGCAGTGAGCCTTTCTCTGCCTCCAAAATCTGTCAGGCTTAGGTCTTCCATCAGTTTCCTCACAGCTCAGTAAGGGTTTTACCCTCAGGGAGTTACCCTATTCCCCAGTGTTATAAGTCAGACTTTTAAACTGATTCCTGTGGCACCTCTTCAGGAGACAGCCTTTGTAGTAGCTGTCACTTGTGTTAAAAAAGTGGTGAAATTCAAGCCCTGGTAGCTTACACTTTTGCCCTAACGAAAGAAGACATAAAAATCACTGAATTATCAGCTTGTATTAATTTGAGACAGCTCCTGATTTTCATCTAGGTCATCATTTTTAACCTACTAGTTTTATTTTTAAGGCCCCCAGAACAGAAGCTTTCTTTTGCTGTTAGCAAGGAAGGCTGCTTGTTGTTTTTATTTCTGTAGCAAAGAAATTTCATGGAGACCTGTCTGAGCTCTCGCATGCACTTTCCAGCTTGTGCCAAGGAGCAGCTGAAGTAGCTAAGTTGGTGTGGTGGTTTTAGCCTGGCTGGCAGACAAACACCAAACAGCTGCTCGCTCACCCTCCCCTAATGGGACAGGGGAGAGAATCAGAAGGGTCAAAGTGAGAAAACTTGTGGGTTAAGATAAAAACCATTTAATAATTGAAATAGAACAAAAATAAAATAATAATAACAATGATGATAACAGTAATAACAGAATATTCAATTGAGTTATGCACAGTGCAGTTGCTCCCCACCTGCTGACCGATGCCCAGCCTGTCCCCAGCCAGCAATTCTGGAGCAGAGACAATCCAAAAACTGAAACTGCAGTCCTGGAGATAGCCTGAATGATCTGAGAAAGATCCCTCAGCTTTCTAGTCCACCCACATTTATATACTGAACATGACGTTATATGATACCAAATCCCATACTGAAATCAAAACACAGCACTATTCTAGCTGCTGAGAAGAAAATTAGCTCTGTCCTAACAAAACCTGACATCTGGAACCGTTAGGAATAGTCATGGTAGTTCCTACTGTAGAGCAAGTGACCTCAGCAGCATGTTGAAGGATGCTTCTTTTCCATAAATCTGTATTTCTGTTGCTTGGAGCTCAGATCACGTTAAGTACTATACCATCACTGAAACCTTCAAGCACTGAGTAGAGCAGTCCCACATCATCTTTTCAGCTAGGAGTGTTGATCCTGTCTCTGGATAACTAACTTAAACTGGAGCATGCTCCTTGGAGACATCTACTGTCAATATGACAAACTTCAGAGAAAGAGCAAAGATCTGTCATCGTACCTGGATTGTTTGTATAGATCAATACCACACTCATGCACAAGCATCTTAAGAACTTTTTTGCCCCAATATGCAGATGGGTGCAGCCCCACACAGCCGAAACACATGCTTTGCCTGCCTTTGTAAAGCTGGGTATTCCTTTTCTTTTCAGTTGCTTCTAACCACTTGGTACAGTCAGAACAAGCTCCTTTGCTTGAAGAGTTTTCATCAGCGCATTTTGTTTCTTTCCTTCTTTGACCCTCTGTCTTTCCTAAATTTTGGCTATTGAGCTGACTTTTTTGGTTTTTAAAATGTTTTTATGGCATCAGTCTCTCCAATGGCCTTTAAATGCTTTGTGGCTTGTGGTAGAAGATTATTCCTGTCAAGTGTTCATATATATTATCTTTATTTTCCCAAAGAAAAACTAATTTTAAAAAAGAGTGTTCAGACTGCATTTCTTACAAAATAGTGTGACAGATAGGACTGCTTTTGGTACCAGAGAGACTACTTCATTTGCCAAGTCAGATGGTTTCTCTGCAATTTGTCAGTGGGTAAGACAAGGGAGAGAACTTGAGGCTTTTCAGTAACTGAGCCCAGGAGAGAAGCATGTGCTTATGGTGAGAACTCCTTGGAGCTGAAACCAGGTTTGTTTGAGATGTGATTTCCAATCTAGTCTTCTCTCTTATGTTCCCAAGAAGGGAAGGTATTCCTTACCTCAGGATTGGGACATGCTTAATTTCTTTTTTACTGCATTTAGACATGTGAGGAGACACTTCTTAGCCACTGCTAAGACAGGCAAGCCTGATTCCAAGTGTTTGGATGTTTTGCCTGATCAGATTGTGAACATGCATGTGGGCTTATGCCTCAAAGGGAGTCTCAGTCTATTGGATCCTTTGTTCTTCAAGCTGTCATGTATTTGCTCATATTCCCTTCACACACCTTCTTGATATTCCAATCCCCATCTCCCTTCCTCCAAGCCTCTGCTTCTATAAGATGATTGCTGTGTACTGGTTTAGAAGGCTATCATACTAACTTACATACTTTCACATGTCTTGTTTGATGTACTGAAAAAAAGGTTCAGTACAAGGAACAGACTGCTTGAGATTTATTTCGTTTTTCCCCTTTTAACTTATGTAAATTCAGTTTAGGTCAACAATGCGAGTTACTGCTGTTTGGTGAAGTTATAAAAGCCATTCTTATTTCATTTTGACTCCTATCACTTAGTGCTGTTAAAGTTGCTATAGTGACAACCACAAAAGAGAGTGTCCAAGACTCAGCATCAGCTGTGGAAGTTCAGCTGTGGAAGTTCAGTCATTTTTAATTGGCCACACTTGGAAAATTTGATAATCAGCATGATTTATCTATATGCTTTTGTCCTTTGTATGGAGAGAGTAATTGTGCTTGATAGGATTAGGATTTTACCTGATTATGAGTTATAATGCTAGATATTGATCATAATTTTTAAGTACAGCTGGCTGTTAGTTTAGATAAAGTTGTCCTGTTTACTGCTTTTATTAGAAACATACTAATTTTTAAAAAGTTAGTGTGACTAGTGGCATGACTGTGGTCTCCATGGTATATTTTAACTGTCCTGTTACTGGTATTGCTTAGAGAAGCATCAACTGTGATCATGGTTTCAATGATGCTGGTTACAGTTGATGGTAAAATTTTAAACCTTTCATATTAAGTTGGTATGTGTTGCTGTCCTTTTTTTCAGTAAGTCCACTCTTGCTCACTGCAGTGGATGGGGAGTAATTAAATATATCTCTTTTACAATCAAGAAAAAAAGCTGCTGTTTTTAGCAACTAACAACTTGTCTTAAAATGCTGTAGGCTTGTCCTGTCCAGTGTTAAGTCACAGACTTTTCTTTGTGAAGCATGACACTTGCAAATTTTTGAACAGCTCAACCTTTTATATGTGGGAGTTTCTGCTGGACTTGAGTGATGAGCACGTAAAGCTGAAGTTTGAGGATGCGTTTTCATGTCCCTCTGACCAAATGTCTTGGTTGTCTGGCCTCCCTGTACCTTTCTGTTTCCAGAGTGACTCAGCATACTTCCTTGTATCAGAAGTGGTGTAGCCAGCAGGACTAGGGATCATCCCATTCTACTGTTTGCACTGGTGAGGCTGCACCTTGAGTACTGTGTTCAGTTTTAGGCCTTCTTGCTACAGGAAAGACATGGAGGTGCTGGAGCATGTCCAGAGAAGGGCAATGAAGCTGGTGAAGGGTCTGGAGTGCAAGACTGATGAGGAACAGCTGAGGGAACTGGGGTTGTTTAGCCTGGAGAAAAGGAGGCTGAGGAGAGACCTTCTTGCTCTCTACAACTACCTGAAAGGAGGGTGTAGCAAGATGGGTCTCAGTCTCTTCTCCCAAGTAACAAGTGATAGGTCAAGAGGAAATCCCCTCAAGTTGTACCAGGGGAGGTTTAGGTTGGATATTAGGAAAAATTTGGAAGGGTTATCAAGCATTGGAACAGGCTGCCCAGGGAACTGGTGGCTTCTCCATCCCTGGAGCTATTTAAAAAACATGTAGATGTGGTGCTTTATTTACATGTTTTTGTACTGTTGAAACACCTCTCCTATGAGGACAGGCTGAGAGAGCTGGGGCTGTTCAGCCTGGAGAAGAGAAGGCTCCGGGGAAACCTTATTGCACCTTTCAATACTTGAAGGGGGCCTATAAGAAA